CTTCCTTCACTTTCTCATTTTGTTTTCGTACCACGGTCACTCCCGGCTCGACCGCCACAACAGTCGGAGCTGTTTCAAATTCCATCGCGAACAATCGCTAATTTTGGTTCTTTACTACGTTGTAATAATTTATAAGTCTACAGCCTTCATGTACACTATATCTGTAATTCAGTTACACGGCCCATATAGGGCCCTTTCTTTTAACTTTACTCCTTTAATAAATTTTGTGGACCGTAAGTTTCCCGTTTCATTGCCGTGAACAGGGTTACAACCCTTCCAACTTGATGCAACAGAGTTCTCGATACTGATCAATTTAGGAAACAAAGGGATGATAATTATTAACACTCTATACAACCTCAAATGGCTTTGGTGATTCCGTATGGCAGTGAAAGTGTTGAATCAATCAATTTGGAAAAAATATATATTAAAATTAAGGATACACTGATTACTATACAGCGTGAAAACACGATTCCTAAACATTTTCACTATTGAAAAAAAAACACAAACTTACCTCGAAATTTGGCAAGAAGGTACTTTAAATTAACTGCCTCCGTGGCCGAACGGTTACCATGCCGGACTGCCACGCAGAGGTCCCAGGTTCGATTCCCGGGCCGGGCGAAATATTTGTATGACCTACATTTATTTCTCTCGTGAGTTTGGGTGTAATTTGTGGTTGTCTATGTGTGTGTCCATGGCACCCGCGACACAGGTTTCCCTAGTGCGGGGCTATGTTGAGTGTGTGCGTTATTATTATTATTATTACATATACCTAATAGAACTCGTGTAATATAATAAATAAATAAATGTTTATTTCAGTAATACAATTAACTTTACATTAACAGTGGATGGTACCTCCTATTAAGCTTATCAAGCCTGTGTTATAATGATATACGATAAATAAATTACAAAATAAAGCAAACCCTGTCGCTCGATCCTAGCAAAATGACCCGTATTAGTGCGGGAAAAATTTGAATTCGACATTAGGTAGTATCGATTTTTAAGGCCGTAGAAAATGTTATAAAAATATTCTATAAAGTTTGTTGTTTTTTTTTTAGTTTTTCGAACTAACATTTTTTTCAAAACACGTGTTAATAAAGGACTTATTTTTAACCGACTTCAAAAAAAAAGGAGGAGGTTCTCA